AAAGGTTATACTTCGACCAAAGTTCAAATAACACCTATCGGCCCTCGACCACAATTTAAAGAGGTAATAACACCTACCAGTCATCAACTGCAATTTAAAAAGGTTATAATTCGACCAAAGTTTGAATGACACCTATCGGCCCATGGTCGCGATTTAATAAAAGGTTAAGTTCGACCCAGTTCGAACAACACCTATCGGCCCTCGGCTGCGATTCAACAAAAGGCTAAGTTCAGCCCAACTCGAACGACACCTATCGGCCCTCGGCCACGTTTTAATAAAAGGTAAAGTTCGACCAAGTGCGAACAATACCTATCGGCCCTCAGCCGCGATTTAATAAAGGGTAAAGTTCGACCCAACTCGAACAACACCTTTCGGCCCTCGACAAAAATCAACCAAGTTTAAATAATACCTATTAGCCTAACCAAAATAAAGAGGCGCACCCGACCTATATAAAAAAAGGGCAGATACGACCCATAAATATTCGTCAACAAGGCTACAACTAACTAGAAGACAACGACGATAGAAAAAGCAGAAATCATAACAAGCAAACAAAAAAACCAAAGTACAGGAGTGCAGAAATAAGTAACAGAAAAACAACTTAAACATCCATATACAAAAGAAAAGTTCATTACGAGGGCTCTTAAAGACGCCAACAAAAATACACAAAAAAGGTCTAAGAGAAAGATAACTGGCGCTCACCATCACGGTCCTCTGCGACCTCACTACCTCGGCCCCCGACACCACCGCCACCTTCGCCTTGAGGATAAGCGGTATCATACCAAGCGTCCTCCTCTAGTCGGTCAACACCCTCTTCCCCATCTTCCTCGTCAGGTTGAGGCGTATCGGTATCATATCCACAAGCGAATCAAGCTTCACGAGCCTTAACCCAGGCATCATCAAGAGCAGCCTCACGAACGAAGTCGATGCATACAAGTCCGGAAACACATCTAACTGGGCCTCGGCATAGAGAGGTACATTGAGAAAATCAGAAGTGTTGGACGAGGATGGCCATGCAAGAAGTTGAGCCTTCTCGGCCTCTAGAGCGGCCACTCGATCATGAAGGACGACGTTGCCTCTCTGTAGCTCCCCGATCCTCTCCTCGAGCCGGTCTTCCTTAGCTCTCGCTGTCGATTGATCATTTTCCGGCTCCGCTAGAAGAGTCCTATTCTCCAACTCAAGCATCTCCACCTTCCTCCGAGCATCCAAACAAGAGGATGCCGCCTTTTCGAGTTCCTCCTGTTTCTCGGCAACCTCACTGCTAAGGGCCTCTACCTGAAACCGACACTCTTCAAGTTGCCTTCGCAATTCAACCACTTGAGCTTGAAGATCACTGCATTGGGCCTCTACATCCCTGCTAACCTCAAGCTCCTCTTTCCTACTTCTCAACGTCCCCTCGAGGATGCTACACTTCTCTATGGCTTGTACCAGCTCCTCGTCCCTCTTCTTCAGATCTTCCCTCGAGGCCTGCATGTCGCTGCAGTCGCGAAGCCGACTTCGGTGATCCCGATACTTGCCGCGATACTCAAGGTATTTATCCTTCAGTTTCACGAAGATCTCTTTACCCCTTTTCTCCCTCCGGGCGATCTCAATTTCTAAAATCACCGTCTGCAAACCAAAAAAGAGGAGAAAAAGGTCAGAACTTCGAACGCCTTGAAAAATAGGAAAAAGTTCGTATCACAAAAGCTCACCCTAAGAGCTAGGCCAGCGATGGTCCTCAACAAGGCACCGTCATTTATTTTCTTAAGGGTCTTACCCTCAACTTTGAAATAGAGAGGACCGAGGGCAAGGAGTACCTCCTTAGTGTCCACCAACAATTCACGATCCATAATAACCGCGATAGTCCTCGTAGACCCCTCTAACCTTAACTCGAGCTGAGTACGCCCCTCTTTAATTATTCTCAAGTCGTCCGCATCGACGTTGGAACCTGACTCATCACCCTCCTCAACATTGCTTTTACCCCTATCATCGGCAGGCAAAGTAGCATCCACGATTGTCTGAGAGGTTGAAGCCTCCTCTCGCCGGGAAGGGTCAAAAACGTCAGTAGTCGCCCCCTCGATCTCAATTCCCTTGGAATGAAGAGATACGCCTACATCGGCTTCCACCGGCCTCGGAGCCTCAAGACTCGGTTCAACATTATCGCTCACAAAAATTGTAGTTTTCTCACGCAACAAAAAGTCCCCTTTCGCCGCATCAACGGCTAGAGTAACTCCATCACCTGCATCCACAGACCTCCTATTTCGAGGTAAAAGATCTTCGTCACTGGGAAAATGCTCACCGTCCTCGTCGATGAGAGAATATAAAGAAGGAGCAGAAGTCTCAACGGCTAGAGCAGAAACGAAGGTGGAAGTGGCGACGGGTGGAATTGGAATAAAGATAGGATCGGCCGTAGTCGAAGCACGCGCGGAGACTGAAGGTGTAGTGGCCCTCCTCTTTCGAAACGAGGGCGTGGGAGCTCTCAACCTCCTCATAGACCACTTGGCCGAAGCTAAAGAAAAACGAGAAAGGGAAAATCAGCAAAGGTAACAAACATGGGCAAAGAAACTACGGCGTCGACGGTAAGGAGAAAATTATCCGCCGAGGAAAGAGACGGCCTAAATCTCTGAGAAAAGCTCGACCAATCGCGTATCCCCGCCGTATGAGGAAAAATCTGTCTAACCTAATTGGCGATATAGGCCACCATCTGGAGAGGTAGAGCAATAGTTGCAAAAAGGGAGAAGCCGATTAACCAACCCACAACAAGGAAAACATGAGAAACAAAAAGGTATATAAACAAATACGAGCAATTACAAGTAGGGTCCCAAGCCTCAAGGAAGCCTGCGGCGGCGGACACTACGTCTTGGGTCTTGACAAAGAAATAGTCAAGCCAGAAATACCAACTAGCCTTGTCATCCATCCTCACCACTAAACATTTCACCCGGCGGTGGCGAAGATTCAACAAAGTCCCTCGATAGAAATGAGGGGCGAAGAGATGGATCAAGTGGCGTAATGTTATGTTGACGTTGGCCAATTCAGCAAATTGCATCAACATCATGACCGCTTTAAAGATATAAGGGGAGAGCTGCGCTGGTCATACGTTGTAGTAGCGGCATAAATCTTCTATCAATGGCGGCAAAGGGAATGAATATCCAATTAAGAACAAATATGTCTAAAGGTCGCAGAAGTCGGGACGATGATCTCGCACCTCGTCATCGCCTGCAGGGACTAAGTCCACGCGACCAGGTAGGCCGAGTCTAACCTTGAGTTCGCTTAACTGCTCAACCATCATAGTAGATTTAAACCTCTCAGTCACCACTTCCGGTGCCTTTTGGAAGTTGGGTTTAGCATCAGGACATCAAGGTACGATTTCCTCTATAGTAGGCAGGGTTTCCTCCTCAGCGGCAAATCGGCCATCCTCCCTTTGGTCAGGGAAAACGATGTCTAAAGGAACAGAATGATATTCCATATGGATATCTGATGGTAGGTCTGACATTGTGTGCAAAAGAGATAGGGAAGCAAAGAAAACAACAGAGAGATACAAGGGTTTCGCAAAGAAGAAGAAGAAGAAGAAGCTCTGCTTATGAAGTAGAGGGAGTTTGGAAAAGTTTCAAAATAAACAAACCACCCCCTATTTATAAGACTTGGGGGCACCAGAATCGAAACGATGGGCCATGATTAGCACGAAGATCGAAACGACAGAACCAATCAAGGGTCACACGTGGATCGACGCAACGTGTCGGGAAACGGTGTCATCATGACGCGTGACATCATGATGTCACTCTTTCTCTTGGACCAGATGGTTCAAATGGACTTCCCGAGAAATTTCAAAGAATTCAAAATGTGCGGCCCTTAGAAAGACACGTTGCCTAACTATCACGACCACGGCCTGCATAGCCAATTCGGTAAAGCTCGACCACAAACGACATTATCCACTCATCGACCTCGCCCGCGAGGACTAGCTCGATAAGTGGAGGGACTAACTGTATCGGCCAAAAAATATCTTTGATATAGGCAAGCCACGTCAGCATCACTATAGCCTTCGTCGACCGCCACGTGCTATCAGTAAGGTCCCCACAAAGATCGGTCTCAGGGCGAAGTAGCCTCGAAGCGATGAAGGGTATGGTCGAAGATTCAACAAAGATCAAGGTCGTCAAGTCGCCATGGTTCAAGATCGAGGTCGAGGTCGAGCATCTTAGACAGAGTTATAACGACTAGTTCTAAAATAAAACGTAAAAGAGAACATTCTAGTGGATATTCTCTGCACATATATTATTAGAATTTCTAAAAGTATGTTCCCTGTAAATAGAAAGAGACACAATGATAGGAAGGGGGAGATACTCATTTGTATAAAAAAAACACCTCTAACTTTATAGAGAGAATTTGGTCAAATTGCAAGGGTACAAAAATAACCTTTTTACTAAGGCCCCGTTTGGCCATGAGTTTTCCCAAAATAAATTTGGGATTTATTTTCAAAACTCACGCTTGGCCATAAATTTTGCCCACATTTTGGCCAATTTCCAAATCCGAAATTCCAAAATCACCTATTGAGCTGATTTTGGGCCAAAATTCCAAAACTTGGGAATTATATACATGTTTTTCCAAAATAAAGTTGGAAAATATGTTTTGAAAACGTATGTCCAAACACATTTTCATCTTCAAACTAAACTTCACCCAAATCAGATTTTTCAAAATAAATTTGGGATCTATGGCCAAACGCTAGCTAAGATTCTTGTCTAGCGTTTTCTATCGGATCCAAGAACAACCTAAGTGTTCAAAGGCTTATCAATCATTCATCATTGTCAGAAAGAATATCCACTGATCTCATCCCTTTTCAGATGATTCTCACGTTTTATTTACTTAAATGTTATTTATTGCCATTTATTACTATTTAATGCCATATTCCTCCTTTTTGGATCATTGAATACTGTTATTATTACTAATATTTGTCGCCATCTGGACAGATCTACTATTTATTTGTCACGATATCAATAGCTTTATCTTTGGGATATTATTTTTAACTAAGATTAACTCTTCTTTATTTAAATCTAATTGGTTGAACCGAGATCTGTATTTTTGATCAAACATATCATACTTGACATATTGGTGTAAAAAATTTATACAGTATAAAACGAAGCTAATGAAATTACGCTGTAAACAATTATGAAAGCTTAGTAAATATTGTGCTTATCATTCCTCCTGCTGAGGCCGATGGAGAGGCGCCAGGCATCAAGAAGAGGTTCAGGCAACAAAGAAGCAAACCACCATTGAAGTGAATGTGGCCAGTAAGGCATTCTCCTTCCTCCATATCCTATTTGTCCAACAGCTGCTTTCGCATACTTTTCCGCTGATGGACTGAACAATGTAGATCTCTCTATGCTTGCAACTCTTGAAGTCATCTTCGTTTTAACATATAATGGTACCTTATTAAAACAAACAAACCATGACCTCGATCTTAAATTCACGTTTACATTTTTCCATTTCTCACTCCCTATATATGTACTTTAAATTAAGATTCAACTTATATACCCTGTAAAGAATTTTTGGATCAGTCGCCGGTTTAGGATTTCTAGTAAATGGATGTACTACTAAAAAGAAGAAGAAAAAGTTATGGTATTAAGTGGGAATTGATCCATATTTCTCCTAATAAATAACTCAGCATTCAACCAAGTGCACCATCGACTATTCTTAGAGTATGAGTGCCAACAATTAATATTATACGAATTTGAATAAATATGCACATAAAATATCAAATTTTACGGAAAGACCATGGATTCACGTACCCCACAATCTCTCCTACAAATCCGCCCTGGTTGTAGACAGATAACCATAGGCATTGGTAGCATACATATTGTTAGGTTCTTGAATGGGTGTGAATGGGAAATGGAAGAGCACCTTTTGAATTGCACCTCTTCATCTCACCCTTTTATTGTCTATAAATTTAGAGGCTTGGCCTCATTTATTAGATATGGAAAATCTGAAAACTTATTCCCTCTTTTTTACATTGTTTCATTAGTTTTTCAAATAAATAAAGTGTCAAGTGTGATTTGCTCCGTTTGTTGAGTTCGCTCAAGTTCTGTAATTTCGATTGCTAGTATTACAGAATAGTTGTTCCGTTCTATCTTGAGAGAAAGTAATCCATAACCTTGGACAATAATAAGGGAATTAAATTCCTTAAGGGCACACACACAAATAACTTGTGGGTTCGGAATTATTTTCTATTTTTGTTTTCTTAAACTTGGGTGTGTTTGGTACGAAGGAAAACATTTTCCAGAAAATATTTTTCAATTTTCCCATGTTTGGTTGGCTTAAATATTTTGGAAAATATTTTCCTTATCAACTCATTTTCCTCCAATTGGAGGAAAATATTTTCCTTATCAAGTGAAGGGAAAACATTTTCCAAAACTCATTCTCAACCTTCCCCATCCTATTCCTCCCACACCAACCCACCCCACACCCACCCACCTTCCCACCTCCTCTCACCAAAAAGGATTTTTTTTTTTTAAAATTTTAGTTTTTTTTTCCGTCACCACCCACCCTGCTATCCCCCGCCAAAACCCCACCCTCATTGCCCCCCACCCCCCAAAATATTTTACTTTTTTTGTAATTTTCAAATTTCATGTTTTTTTCGTACCCCACCCCACCCTGCCCCTCCCCCCCCCCCCTAAAAAAAAATTACTTTTTTTTTTGTAATTTCAAATTTCTATTTTTTATATTTTTCTGCACATACCACTGCCCCTCCCCCCCCCCCCCCCAAGAAAAAATATTTTTTTTATATATATTTTCAGTTTTATTTTTTTTATCTTTCGGTTTACAGGTTCGAAATTTTACAAGTTCCAAAATTATGAGTTCAGAGGTTTATGTGTTTGGAAGTTTACGGGTTTAGAAATTATAAAGTTTACGGGTTCGAAAATTTGCGATTTTTGCGTAAAAAAAGTAAAGCATCACATTAGTTTCTTTGGGTTGTGTCAATTTTTAGAGACTTCGGGAAGGGGTGGGGGAGGGGGAGGGGTAAGGGGAGGTAGGAGGGGGAGGGGGAGGGGTGAGGAGAGTTGCATAAAAAATATTTTCCTAAAAAGAATATTTTCTACTCTCTAACCAAACAATAGAAAATATTTTTCGGAAAATATTTTCCACTTACCAACCAAACAAGAGAAAATAAGTGATAAAATCACTCATTTTCCATGAAAACATTTTCTAGGAAAACATTTTCCATGGAAAACATTTTCCTTCATACCAAACACACCCCTAACGTCTTCTCATTTTCTGGTTTCGAATACAGTATTACTAACACATATAAGAATCACTAAAAGCTCAATAAATAACAGTATTAAATTCATATTCATAATTATAAAAAGTACAAAGAGTTCATTATTAAAGTAATGATCGGAAAGTTGTTTGTTCATAGAGAAAATTGACAATTCTATCATGTATAATATATTATATATATTGCAGACCGACATACGGTCAAGTTAATTTGTAACATGATTTAAAGTGCTATATTTTGAATGCATTTGGAATGTCTGAAGATCACAACTTATATTGCAACTTATAAACAATGGAGACATAGTGAGTTAGTAGTACGTACCTGACACTGAACATCTATACCGTGGTGTTCGTATTCCACGTACAAACATCTCGACAACTGATCGATATACCTGAGCATGTTTATTTCAATTTTTTGTTAATATATATGAATACACCAGAAATCCAATTCCTGTAGTTCATATAATAGCATTATAGCATTAGATAAGATCCATCTCTGGAGATCCAATTAGCTTTTGTTTGGAAATTAACCCAACTCCATATATATATATATATATATATATATATATATATATATATATATATATATATATATATATATATATATATATATATTATTGAATTTTTAATTATGTACTAGTTATATTAAATTTGTCTATTGTCGTAAAATAGTGGTTTATGTTCGAAAAAATAATATCCCACCCAGGAATAATATCCACAGTAAATAACAATAACACAAAAGAGTAACAACGACACCAAATTTTTAACGGGATAAAATATAATACCCGAACGGAGAAATATTATACCAATATAATATCACAACTTGGTAGTGTCAAAAGACTATTACAATTTCGAAAGAAATAATACTCTTTATCTTAAATACCTCACTACAATATTACTCACACTTACTATTTATTTCATAAACTATCGTCTATGAATTATTCTCTCTAACTCTTAGTTGTTTCTCTTGATTTGGTGTATTTGAAACGAGGAAAGTAACGTTTCTACTTATAGGTGAATAGTTGCTCACCATAACCATTCAAAGTTGGTTCTGACTCCCAATTTGCCGATTTGCAATCTTGCAAATCGGTTTTGCAACTTGTCCACCGCCCAAGCCGTAAGTTTGGCTAATCATCTTTTCTTCGTTTCTTTCTTTTATTTACTTTGTTTGTTCTTTGTTAGGGAATTAGTTTCCCATAAATCTCCCTCTCAATTTTGATTTTCTTCTTCATTTCAAGTCTTGATTTCACTCTCAGAAAATCTTTAAACTTGAAAAGTATTATAAAGATATCTACAACTTGATTATGAGTCTTCGCATATTTAAGCTCTATTTCCTTAATGGAAACACATTTGTCTTTGCTTGTAGCCTTTAGCCAAAAGTCTTGCCTTGTGTCTCTTCACCCCTCCATTAACATTTTTCTTTGTTTTGTATATCTGTTTCACTCCAATTAATCGATGACCTTTGGGAAGAGTTGTTAACTCTCAAGTGTTGTTCTTCTCTACTCTCGATATCATCATCCGTGGTTGTTCTCCACCTTTTGTCTGTAACATCTTCATCAAAGCTTTTTGGTTCACTATCAGCAAAGAGACAATATAAAAAATCAAAATTAGTAGCTTCTTATGTGCATCATAGAGCTCTTGAATACTCCTCGTCCTTTGCGGCTGTTCATTTGAACTTTCTCGAGAAGAAGGAGATGCAACATTAGTTGGTGAAGGAGGTGGAGTTGTATCTTGCACAGGTTCTACGGTCTCTGGTTCTTTTTCATTACCAAAGTATGGAAGAAAATCACATGAAGTTTCTTCCTGAGCCTCCCAATTCCATTCCAATTCTTCATCAAATTCGACATCACGACTCACCACCACCTTACCGCTGCTTGGGTTATATAGCTTGTAGCCTTTTGAACTTGTATCATAGCCAACAAACACATGCTTGACAATTCGATCGTCAAACTTCGCTCTCCCATACTGTGGAACATGAGCATAGGCTATGCTCCCAAAAATTCTCAAGTGCTTGACACTTGACTTTCTTCCACTCCATGCTTCTTGAGGGGTTTGATCTCTAACATTTCTTGTTAAAGACGTATTTCAAATAAACTGCACAAGAAACAGCTTCGACCCAAAATTCCTTGAGCATACTTTTAGCTTTCAACATACATCTAGCCATATTAAGAATTGTTCGATTTTGTTGGGGGGGGGGGGGGGTGAATAAGGTATCGTTAGAGGACGATGAAATAAATTCTTTGAAGCGAATTCGCCTCCTCTAACAGGCCTTAAATCTTTTATTTCATAACCACTATCTTTTTCAACAAGCGCTTTGAAATTTTTAAAAGCAACAAACGCTTCAGATTTTTGGTTCAAGAAATAAACCCAAGACTTTCTACTAAAGTCATAAAAAAATAGCAGAAAGTATTTACTTTTACCAAAGGAAGGTGGATTGATTGGTCCACATATATCAGTGTGAACAAGTTGGAGTCGCTTGGTTGCTCTTGACATGGATTCATGCGGAAAACTTCTCCTTGCATGTTTTCCAAGTAGACAAGCTTCACACAATTGATTGGGATGGTTGATTGATGGTATGCCATACACCATGTTCTTTTCTCCCATTGATTTGAGCGCCTCAAAATTGAACTGCCCAAATCGCATGTGCCAACACAATGATTCATCTTCCACAATAGCCTTCAAACACTTTGCATCAATTGTCTTAAGATTCAGAGAATATAATCTATTTTTCGCCACATGCACTTTAGCAATTAGAATTCCACCTAAATCTCTAAGCCAAATATACATATTTTTCATGTGGATATTATATCCCTTTCAGAAGTTGGCCCAAACTCAAATTATTACTTTTTAATTTTGGCACATAATAAAAATCTTGAATTAACTTGTGTCCACTATTAATAGAGGAGATCAGAATTGTACCTATCCCTTTGGTTAGAATATTTGAAGTATCTCCAAATGACACATTACCTGTCACCATTTTATTTATCTCCACAAACTTGTCTTTGCATCCACATATATGATTGCTTGCTCCATTTTTCAAATACCAGGAGCTACAATAACTCGTGTCTTCTTCCTTGAGTGCCAACAATAATGTTGACTCATCTTCTTCTTTCTTGTCGTCAACAAGGTTAGTTTTCTCTTCAATATTGTTACGGCATTCCCAAGAGTAATGGCCAACTTTATGAAAATTATAACACTCAATTTTTGACTTGTCATACCTTTGTCCATTATTTTCCTGATAGTAGCCACGTACTCTTCCTTATCTTTGTCCACAACCACGACCTATAAATATTTGGTGGATTTTCACTTCATTGTTGAAGTTGTTACCATTACTTCTTCCTCTTCTATTACTGCCACGATGTCGTCCTCGTCCATTCCCTTGATAGTTTTTTTTACCTTCATAATACTTGAAGGATGACTAAGTTCTAAGAAGTTGCTCCAGTGACACTTCTTGTCTCCTCTTGATCTTTTCTTCATGGGCCTGTAAAGAACCCTCAAATTGCTCTACCATCATTTAGTCTAAGTCTTTAGACTCATTAATAGCACATGTGAGAATAGTTATATGAATATATGTAATTAGTCTTAGTCCCTTATATAATAGGAGTATGTTATGTGTTATGTATACATAAAAATAGGGCTCATTGTAATATAAAAAAATAATTAATAATATTTTCTCACATGGTATCAGAGCATGAGTAAGAAAAGATCATTGTGCGTCATTCCAACAACATCCGGGAAGAAAGAACTCAATCACCGTGCAATTTTTCGGTGATCTAAGCGACTGATTTGCGTCATCTCACATTTGGTAAGTGTTGTGAACAAACCAACACCGCCATTAGACTTAGATTCTCCGGCAACAGACGTCCCACGCGCCTCCAGGCGCCATCCAGATCTGCGATTCCGCCGGCTTGTCTGTCCCACGCGTCGACGCGTGCGTGCTTCTCCGGCCTTGTTTTGGCCGAGCTTCTTGTAGACAGCCTATTCACACAGCAATTCCGAGTTCACTAATACTATTTTTGACAGATTTCGACAACTTTGGAATTTACCGGCGAGCTACAGTGTTTTACGGCATGAACAGTGTTTCCCGGCGCAAAATTGTGTTCTTTTTCTCTGCTGTGAACAGCGTTTTCCCATATATTTCTTCAGTTTTCTAGGAGTTACTTATTTTTACTATTTCAAGTTAACCCTACAACTTTTAGTCAAGAATTTGAGAAATTAATTGTAGCGACATAGGATCCAATACTATGATTAGTTGAATGGTTTCTCTATTGGATTATATTGAGTTCCTTCAGTACAAAGCATGTAAACAGACATCTCCAGAGACAGATTCCATTGTACAAACATGTAATAGCGTGACTTGTATCTCCCAATCTTCATCCTCCGATTCTTGGATCATTGATTCAGGTGCATCTGATCATATTTCTAGTAACAAATCTCTTTTCACTAGTATTTCGTATTCTCAATCTCTTCCAACAGTCACAATGGACAATGGGTCTCAAACCATGGCAGCTGCAATAGTCAAGAAAGACCACTTCCTTCCTTACCTTTAGATTCAGTTCTTTATGTTCGTAGTAATACTTTTAATCTCATAGTCGTTAGTCGCTTAGCCAAAATACTTAAATGTATTATTTTATTTCTTGATGACCTTGTTTTTATAGAAGAACGCAGTACAGGGCAGATTATTGGTTCCGGGCGTGAATCAAATGGACTTTATTACCTTATCCTTGCTAAATCAGATGGACTCATATCTTGTCTTCCTTCAACAACTTGTCTTGTTACCGATTCACCATATTTATTACAGAAACAGTTGTGACATCCCAATTTGTCAAAACTTCAGAAAATGATACCTGGTTTATCTCACTTGTCCACTAGAGTGTGAGTCATGTCAGCTCGGTAAGCATACTCGCTCCTATTTCCTTCGGCATCTTGATAATCGAGCAGAGTCACCTTTTACTTTAGTCTATTAAGATGTTAGGGGTCCTAGTGGGGTCAGTTCTACCTTGGGATTTCGCTACTTTGTTAGTTTCATTGATGATTATTCCAGGTGCACTTGGATATTTTTCATGAAAAATCGATTTGAGTTATTTTCTATTTCCAAGACCTTCTACGCTAAAATTCAAAAAACAAATTAGGGTTCTATCCTCACATTTCATAATAATAATGCCCTAGAGTATTTGTCTTTCTCATTTCAGTAGTTTATGAACATCTTGTACGTACACATCTCAACTGAATGCGATAGCTGGAAGAAAGAATAGACATATATTGAAACTGCTCATACCCTACTCATACAATATCATTCGTTGCTTTTTTGGGGGATACAGTTCTTACATCTTGCTATCTTATTAATCGTATGCCATCTTCAGCTATCCAGTATCAAGTTCCATTCTCTGTC